TATAGCTACCAATCGGAATTTTTACAGTAATTAGATTATTTGTTTGCTTCAGTAATTCAGTAATTCTTGCTTTGACGTTAAGATGAAACTATAAAAATTATAATACAGTAAACCTACTCTCATGGACAAAAAAATTAGCTCTAATAGAAAGTGTCGTCAAAATGAAATGAAACTTTACATACGCAAAGACTACTTTGATTAAGTTAATGATTAGAGAGATTAAGTTAATGATTAGTTGGATTAAGTTAATGATAACTTAATGATTAGAAAATCAAGGAAAAAGGATAATTTATTTCAGAGAAAAAAGCAAAAGAACGGAGGATTTAATACTCTTTTGAAACCCCTCTGGTGCGAATGCACGATGCGATACGATCGGGCATTGAGGCATACAAGTTCTGTATGATGTCTTGAGACATTTCGTTCCTAATTTCCTGTAACCTTGTCTCTAGTTCGTTAAACTCGTGGGATGCCCAACTCACCATCCCAAATGATCCCAGATATGCTCGATTGGGGACAAACCTGGGAGACAGTTTTGTGACACCCTTGTCGTGTGAGGCGAAGTATTGTTTTGTTGAAAAATGGCTCCTGGGGGGCCAATGCGTGAGTTACAACACATGTGGTTGCAGGATGTCATGGACATACCACTGGGCTGTCATGATGCCACGTATCAATACTAGGGGTGACCATGTATTGTAAGCAATGGCACCCCATTCTATCACACAAGCTGTGGCATAGCCATTCTGTGATGACCATGTCTAGCCGGTTCCGCGTAAGCTAGAGGTGTGGGATTATCAAAATGATGAGACATAATTCTTAATACAACTTTTATTAAGAGTAACTTATAATACTTAAGTTCTAATTTGACAATTATTAATTAGAGTGAGAGTCGAACCCAAATTAAATCACGTATTTAAGTCAGATCACGCAATTAGATCCTCTATCTCAATTATCCTAAATAATCCTGTTATCTAATTACTTATATCTAATATTACCTTTTCCAGTTCAGGCCCCTTGACCTAGAGAATATAATCTATAACTTTATCTATGAAGATTCTTGATCCGCAATGCAGCTAATTCTTGACTGCTTATTCTTGGTCCGCAAGATTTCACTCTAAGCTTTGTCACGCTATTGATCAGAATGATTCCACACTACAACCTCTGAGCCTGCTACGCTTTATTATGCTATC